CCGCGTTTTGCCAACCACTGTCCTAGGGCAAAGGAAACTAAGGAAAAAATAAACAAATTGGGCTACATCAAAATAAAAAGCTCTGTAAAACAAAAGAAACCATCAATAAATGAAAAGGGATCCCACTGTATGGGAGAACACATTTGGCAATGATACATCTGATAAAAGGTTAATATCCAAACTACATCAGGAACTCATACAACTTAACCAAATGAAGATAAACAATCCAATTACAAAATGGGCAAAGGACCTAAATAGACACTTCTCCAAAATGGACATACAGATGGCCAAGAGACATAGGGCAAAAAGGCTCAAAGTCACTGATAATCAGAGAGATGCAAATTAAAATGACAATGAGGTATCACATCACACCTGTCAGAATGGCTACTATCAACAAATCAATATATGACAAGTGCTGATAAGGATGTAGAGAAAAGGGAACCCTAGTACACTGCTGGTGGGAATGCAGACTGGTGCAGCCATTATGGAAAATAGCATGGAGCTTCTTCAAAAATTAAATATGGAACTGCCATTTGACCTAGTGATCCCACTTCTAGGAATATATCCTAGGAAACCTGAAGCACCAATCAGAAAGAAGGCATGCACCCCTATATTTCATAGAAACACAATTTACAGTAGCTAAGATCTGAAAACAGCCCAAGTTCCCATCAGTAGATGAGTGGATAAAAAAGGTGTGGTACATTTATACCATGGAATACTATGCAGCAATAAAAAAGAAGGATCTCTTACCCTCTGAGACAGCATAGAGGGATATAAATATATGCATAACCCATGGAAACAGACAGTGGGGTGGTAAGAGCCGGGGGCAGGGAGTAGGGGTGGGCTGGAGAGGATTGATGGGGGAAAGTGGGGATATATGTAATACTTTCAACAATAAAGATTTAAAAATATATATTGTATTTTTTTCCCAGCCAGCATGGCTCAGTGGTTGAGCATTGACCTATGATCCAGGAGGTCATGGTTCCATTCCTGATCAGCTGGATTCCTAGTGTGGGGCATGCAGAAAGCAGCAAGTCAATGATTCTCTCTCAACATTTATGTTTATATTTCTCTCTCCCTCTCCCTTCCACTCTGAAATCAATAAAATATATTTTAAAAAATTATCTTTTTCAATCCAAAAACAGTATGTCTTCTTTTTTCATTAATGTCTTCTTTAATTTATTTCAGCAATGTTTTGTCAAAAATCTAAGACTGTATAAACTGGGTTGAATTTATTTTGAGTACACTATTCTTTTTGATGTTTTTGTAAATAAAGTTATTTCCTTAGTTTATTTTCTGTTGTTTTTTTGTTGCTAGCTTATAGAAATTAAACTGATTTATTTTGAAGTGTTGACCTTGTTTCCTACAGCATCTTTATTGAATTTATGTATTAGCACTACTTGGTTATATATAATTTTATTTATTCCTTTCCTATATAGGTGCCTTTTGCTCCTGCTTAGAACATCTAATATAATTTTTGTAGAAGTGGCAAGAGTGAACCTCTTTGTCTTGTTCTTGTTCTAAGGGTGAAAACTTTTAATCTTTTATCTGTAACTATGATTTTAGCTGAGATTTTCATTACTACTGTTTATCTTTTTTATCTTTATCATTGAAAATATTACAGATGTCACCTTTGTTTGTTTTTTTTCCCCATTGATTGCCTCCACCCAAAACCTACCCCTCCTAAACCTTCACCACTCAATTGTCTGTGTCCATAAATTAATATAAGTACCCCAGTTAATCATTTCACAACCAACCCCCACACCCACCTTCCCTCTGAAATTTGTCATTCTGTTCCATGCTTCTATATCACTGGATCTATTTTTCATCACTTTGTTTTTTTCAATAGATTCCACTTACGAGTGAGATCATGTGATACCTATCTATCTCTGACTAGCTTATTTCACTTAGCATAATACTTTCCAGGTTCATTCATGCTGTTGTAAATGGTAAGAGTTCTTTCTTTTTTTACAGCTGCATAGTATTCCATTCTGTAAATGTTCCACAGCTTTTTTATCCACTCATCTGCTTATGGGAGCTTGGGCTATTTCCAAATCTTAGCTATTATAAATTGGGGATATACATACAGGTGCCTATATTCTTTCTGAATGGAGTTTCTGGATTCTTAGGATATATTCCTAGAGGTGGGATCACTGGGTCAAATGGGAGTTCCATTTCTAATTTTTTGAGGAAACTCTATACTGTTTTCCACAGAGCTGAACTAGTCTGCATTCCCACCAGCATAGTATTAGGGCTCCCTTTTCTCCATATCCTGGCCAACACTTATCATTTGTTCAATTGTTGATGATACCCATTCTGACAGGTATGAGGTGATACCTCATTGTATGGTTAATTTGCATCTCTCAGATAATTAGTGAGTAAGCTTTTTTTTTTTTCATATGTCTCTTAGCCTTCTGTACGTCAACTTTGGAGAAGTGTCTATATAGGTACTTTGCCTGTTTTTAAATTGGATTGTCTTCCTTTTGTTAAGTTGTGTGAGTACCTTGTATATTTTGGAAATTAACCCCTTATTGGATGTGTCATTGACCAATAAGTTCTCCCATGCAGTGGGTTCTCTTTTCATTATTTGTTGGTTTCTTTTGCTATGCAGAAGCTTTTTATTTTGATGTGGCCTAATATATATATTCCAGAAAGCTCATATATTTTGCTCCTGTCAAGTGAAATGGTCTTTAGATACCTATTAATTTTAGGTAGTTTGTAGTGGTGTTCGAGTCTTCTATTTCCTTGTTGGTCTTCTGTCTAGTTGTCCTATTACTGATTGGCTTTTAAGTGCCAGGCTTGGCAAAAGGTCCATTAAATATATTCCCATGGAGCATAAGACATCATTAGTGTTTAGCGAGAATCAGGGACATACTGGAAAGGTTTTAAAGTGTATTTGAGTTCTTTCTCTCTCTTTTTTGTTTGTTTGTTTAGCTGTGAGGAAATGCTTCAGTGATATCTTAGTTCCACAACATGTGATAAAGATGCTGGGATTTGTTTGGAACATAATCTACTGTGAATATTGCATTGGAACACTATTTATGTGATGAATTGCTGTCCTGTGTTAGAGTGTTGCATAGAATTACTTTTGTTTCAGAAGGTTTTCAAGAGGAAGAATCCCAGGTTTCTGTGATAAAGAACTTGTGCCAGATTCAGTGGCTGGATTTTAAAGGTGGGATCTGTTTGGCTAAGAGAGCAGCCATAAGTTAGTGTTTTAGTGATACTAATAATATCTGATATTTACATTTTATAAGGCTCTCTCCAAGTGCTTTGTGTTAATGATTTTAATGGGGTAAATTATTCATTTAATTTTATTTTAGGATTTAGAGTCCTGGCCTATTTTTTCCAGTTCATCATTATCAATGTAATAAGCTTTTTATGAGGACTAGAAGGCCCTGAATTTGAATTTCCACACTTCTGCCACTAGTACTGTGGTCTTTTGTAAGTTATATCACTAATCACTTCCTTAATTTTTCATGTTAAAAGGGTGGCTAGGTTAAATACTTTCCAAGGACCTTTCACCATTCTCATTCCCGAGCTCTCACTTTGTCTTACCAGTTTATCTCTTTTTTAAAAAAATTATTTTTGCCGCTATTACAGATGTCCCTATTTAACCCCTACTTAGCCCCTCCCCCCTTCCCTCTGGCCATCTCCACAGTTTTCTGTGTCTATGGGTTATGGATATATGTTCTTTGGCTAATCCCTTCACTTTCTTTCATCCAGTCCCCCCTCATGCTCCCCTCTGATAGTTGTCAGTCAGTTCCATGTATCAATGCCTCTATTTCTATTTTGTTTATTAGATTCCACATATTATTCTTGACAGCAATCTGGACTCTATATCTTGGGTCAGTCCCAAAAGGCATGTGGGTGACTTTAAGGACTGCTTCACAAAGGAAACTCCAGATATCTTGCAACTTGGAGCCATGGAGAAATCAAACAATACTAACCTTAAATACAGCTTCCTCATTTTTCTTGGCCACCCTTATCTCATCAAATGATCCAATCAGTGGGTTCTTCTGGGATTCAATGCTGTTGTGGAAAAAAAAAAAGGAGAGTTTTGTATGAGCCCCTCTTTTTTCTTTTCTGGGATTGCTGCCTCTCATGGGACAGACTCTTTCAGATTTTTAGCTATTTTGGCATATAACTTGGTTTTTAGAAAGAACATATTGTAGCACTTTGGAAAATCCTCTAACAATCCCTGTGGGAAAAATCTGTTACTTGATTGATGACACTTGAGGGAGTGTGGCATTCCCAAATTAGCCCATAAGTTTAAAACTCTTCGGTTTGTTTCTTGAATCTGTAAATAATAGTTATATACCACCCAGGCTTTAGAGCCTCAGTTTCCTCATCTGTAAAATGTAAAGAGGATTGTTCAAAATGAAGAATTCTTAACTTGGAAGACCTATAGCCAAGCATACAAAGATAAAATCCCCACACACTTAAGTTGTATGCAAAATTATATTTACATATATTTATGTAGAGAGTGCATAGCCTTCATTAGATTCCAAAACATCCCATAATTGAAAAGAGGTTAAATAACCACTCTTCTAAATGAGCTAACTTAGAACTCTAAAACACTGAAGCCCTTTAAAGTAACCTAGAAAAGTGGTTCTCAAAGTATGGTCTATGGACCAGAAGAACTGCATCACCTGAGAACTTGTTAAAAATTAAGGGTATCTGTTCTACTCCCAGATGTATTAAATCACATTTTTTAAAAGTGGGATTCAGAAATCTGTGTTATAGCAAGCCATTGAGGTGATTCTAATATACACGAACGTTTGAGAACTGACCTAGAACAATTCCATCTTGTTGCTTGGCAGGAAAACCAAGTTCAGAGAGGGAAAGGATTCACCTAAGGTCATGCAGTAAATCAGAACCCAGGTCTTTTCACTCCCAAGGCAAAACTCACTTCCCCGTACTTCCAAAAATCTTCATAGCTCTGAAATTCTATGGATCTAAGGCTTAGATTCTAAGCAAAGGAAAGTTACTGAAAAAACTATCAGTAAAGACAATAGCTTTGTTCCACAGTTTAAAATACTTCATTGCCTTGAATACCTTCTTCCACTTTAGAGCTGCTATGATTAAGGAATGCTTATATGCCTCAGTGTATTTTTATAGGAGAAATAGAATAAAACTCTGTAAAATGGTAAAACTCATTTATTCTGACCTAGTGCATTGCTTTAACTTCCCTTTTGTTTATGCCCATAAAAAAAGTAAATATGTTTTTTCCACCCTCTTTTTCTTTGACTGAAGATATCAGCTCTGAAACCAGGTGATACAATTATAGCTGTAAATTAGAGAAAACTTAGACAGACCTAAAGCTATTTTGATGGATCAATGATGAAAGCATCAATCTCATGATACACAATCCATGAAAAGTATCACAGAACAAGAACTAAAATAAGACACATATGCCAATTTTATAAAATGTTCCCTTCTAAATACAATTTAGTTTTTAGCCAGTGTGATATTGGAGGAAAAAATAGTTTTAAGCTGAGAGCTGAGGGCCTCAGTTTTACTTTCTGACAAATAGGATTATAGTTATCCTACAAGGCTTCTAGAATACTTGCAAGGTCCATTGTGGAAGCAGATATGAAGGTGCTTTAGACATAGCTTACAATATAAAAGCATAAAAGTTAGTTCCCTCTCACTGTCTGCCTCTTATGTGTTTCCATTTGTTCCAAAATATCATATAATAATTCCCACTGTTCACAAATCCTGAAGAGCCCTAGCTGATTTGGTTCAGTGGATAGAGCATCAGCCTGAGGACTGAAGGGTCCCAGGTTCAATTCCAGACAAGGGCACATGATAGGATTGAGGGATCGATCCCCAGTAGGGTGCATGCAGGAGGCAGCCAATGATTCTCTCTCATCTTTGATGTTTCTATCTCTCTCTCCCTCTCCCTTTCTCTCTGAAATCAATAAAAATATATTTTTAAAAATCCTGAGGAAAATGCACCAGAAATGTGGGAAGACAGTTTGGGCCGGGTGGTTCAGTTGGTTGGAGCCTCGCCCTATACACCAAAAAATTGCAGGTTTAATTCTGGTCAGGGCACATACTGGGGTTGTGGGTTAGGTTCTGGTAAGAGAGTGTACTGAAAACAAATCATTGATGTTTCTCTCTCACCTGGCTCACATGGATGTTTTCTCTCTCTCTCTCTCTCTCTCTCTCTCTCTCTCTCTCCTTCTCTCTCTAAAAATTAATAAAAACATAGCCTCAAAAAATTGGGAAGATAATTTTGGCATTTTACAGGCAGTATAAAAGAGCAGATAAGATCATGGGCTCTGGGACAATTTTTCTTAGGTTTGCGTCCTAGCTGTGAGGCCTTTGACACACTAGTTAACTTCTCTGTGTCTTAGTTTCTTCATCTATAAACTAGAATAATAGTGGCAAAGTTATAATAAAGGGTACATGAGTAAATACATGTAAGATATTTATAATGCCTGAAAATTATTACTTGATAAAAATTAGCCATTAGTATTGTTGTTGTTACTGAAAGAAGCTCCTGAAGTCATATAATGTCTGTTATCAGAAATTTTGTGGAGTAGTTCATTGTAGCCAGGCCTAAACATCGGCAGATGCACCAAATGGAGGTTTCTAAGCAAGGACATGGGGCATCCAGATTATGAGGCAGCCATTAAGAAAGTAGAAATGTTTTCTAGTTCTACTAAGATATAACTGACATATAAAAATATATACATTTAAGATGTACAATGTGATTATTTGTTACACATACATATTGCTGACTACTTACCATGATAAATTTAGTTAACACATTATTTTAATATGTTCTGTTTTTTAGAGCGAGAGGAAGGGAGAGATAGAAACATCAATGAGAGAGTGGGAGACATTGATCTGCTGCCTTCTGCATGCCCCCTACTGGGGATCAAGCCTGCAACCCAGGCATGTGCCTCGGCTGGGAATTGAACTGGTGAACTATTGGTTCATGGGTTGATGCTCAACCACTGAGTCACACTGGCCAGTCTAGTTAACACATTCCTTGCTTCATGTTATTATCATTTTGTGGTTGTTATGGTGAAAATATAAACATTTACTCTCATAGAAAATTTCAAATATACAATACAGTGTTCTTAACTATAGTCATCATGTTGCACATTAGAGCTCTGGAACTTATTCATCTTATAACCAGAAGTGTGTACCGTTTGACCAACATCTCCCCATTTTTCCCAACCCTCAGCCTCTGGCAATGACCATTCTACTCTGTTTCTATTGGATTTACTTATTTAGTTAGTTAGTTAGTTATAATAGCTAAGCTCTGGAAACAGCTTAAATGCCCATCAGTAGATGAGTGAATAAAAAAGCTAGAGAGATACTAAAGGTGGCTGCTGATGGGACAGCAGGCTGCAAGATAGTGTCTGAGTGAGAGCGAAAGGAGAGTGTGTGGAATGTGGGGAGTGACTGTATTTGTGAGTGAGGGACAGCCATATCCCATGGGACTGTTGGGGACTGGCAGACCAGGCGCCCCTGGCCGGGCAGCCTCTACTACTGCTGAAATCTCTCCCAGAGCAGCCAGCTCTGCTGCAGAGACTGTGCCATCTTGAAGGGGAGACCGGCTGTGATTGGAAACACAGCCTTACCTTCAACTGGGGACACCTTGGAAACCTCCCGGGACCCTACAACCACAACGCTCAGGGACCAGCTGTCTCAGCTACGAACCCACAAACACTGACACTCCAGCCTCCCTGACCATGGACACCTAAAAAGTCTGTCCAGGGGGAGACAAAGTGGCGCCAAATACGTGGACAGGCCCTGTGCCTTCTCACAGAGCAGACAGAAGGAACAGCTGAATCAAATATCATCCACCTGGAATTGGTGAATTAAACACAGCTAGTGAGGCAATCTGTGGATGGAAAAGTCAAATATTGCCTAGAGAGAGGTGAGATCTGGGATCCAGGCTGGAGGGAGAAATGCACACAGTGGGGACTAGAGTCTCAGAGGGAGGCTGCACCCCACCAAATCCACGACCCTTGGGGTCAGTGTAGCCCTCCAATGTGGAAGGAGGTCCACAGGGCTGCTGGCAGAAGGGGACTCTAGATATTAGCCCACAGCTGGGCTGGGCCCACAAAGGCAGCTTGAAGTTCTATACTGCCTGTGCAGTGCCAGGGGAAAAAGGCATGAGTCTGCACGATTTCTCTGTCCTTTTATCTTTATACCTCCTTGCTTTTGCTTGCTAAGTCCAGTATATAGGATCTTCCAATTAAAAACACTCACCGAGACTGCAGGGGAAAGTTGTTTTTGTGGAAACTGGGGGTCAGAATAAGGAGAGGACAAGCCAGAAACCAGCTCTGGGGCAGTCCATCCCTCTAACCGAGTATTAAGTGCAGCAGGGAAAGAAGAGTCTAAATAAACACTGCATAAAGGGGCCATTTAGTCCTGGATATTAATATAGAAACACTGCCACCCAGGGGTTGTGTCAGAAATTGATTCTTGTGTAAATACAACTGAAGACAGGGAGAAACAAAGTGAGCAGAGAGTTCCAGCCTGCCTGAAACAAGGTTGTGGCTTATGACACAGAGGAGTGGTGGATCTCAGGGAACTTCAACACTGTGCTAACTACTGACAGGAAACAGACGTGCCAAGCAGAACAGTAGAGGAAGTGAACGAATTTAAGTACTTCACTTTTTTGTTTTTTTTATCTTGTACTTAAGAAGCTAAATTTTTTTCTCACTTGACTTTACTTTTTTATTTTTATACTAGAGGCCCGGTGCACAAAAATTTGTGCACTGGGGTGGGGGGAGGGCCCTCAGCCCAGCCTGCGCCCATTCACAGTCCAGGACCCCTTGGGGGATGTTCACCTGTCGACTTAGGCCCACACCCTAGGGCAGGGGTGGGCAAACTCAGTCAGACATCCTTCTGTCAGCCAGGGAGCCCTCTGGGGATGTCCAACTAAAGGCTTAGGCCCCCAAGGGATCTGGCCTAAACCATTAGTTGGACATTCTTAGTGCTGCCACGGAGGTGGGAGAGGCTCCTGCCCACCACCTCTGCGCTGGCCAGCCATGAGACAGCTT